CCCCCCAAATCCTAGAAATTACTATTGTCAAAGAGCAGAGAGTATCAGGTTAGACCTGCGGTCCTCAATTTACTATGCAGATGTGTTGACATTCCAGTACCATATGGGTTGGGGCAAATAACCCAATAGTTTGACACTTGCTGAGACAAACCCACTAGCCTAAAGATCAAGGTTAGGAGATGTTGAACCTTTGCTCCAGGTTGCTGCTTTTATTCCTATATATCCCACTCGTCGGAAGCCAAGGAAAACAACTATTTCTGCTTTAGAAGTGGGGACTTAGCACTGTATGCAGCCAGGGGTGCATTATGCCCATTGGTCCTGAATACACTTTCTAGGAAGCAAATCTCACTTAAATTAATGAGACCCAAATCCAAGCCTGTGCTTTCAATCAGACTACAAAGGCCTGCAGAAAAAAGTGTGATGGCTTTGGGAATGAGTCTGGGGCAAGCTCCAGATCTATTATCTGAGCAGGTATAAGAGTGCTTGAGTTAGAAAAATACTCTCTGGCTTCCCATTTCCAGTACTATTTCACCCGCAGTTGATCCCAGGCTGGTCTCTGGGAGGGTGAGGATCTGGAAAATTGCCTTTCTCATGGGTCTGGACATGAAACTATATACAAAGAGGGTCCAAGTGGAATGCTTTGTAGCCTTCCTGCATAGGATATATAAAAAAGAGAATTAAAATCAATCAAAAGGAAACTTTAGTTCAAGAGTGGGCAACCTTCTTCGTCCTGAGAGCCACACTTGACTATTTGGAGACTAGGACAATGATGTCTCCACGTAGATAGGGCTGAGCCTGGTTGGGAGGCATTTTCTGGCTATTTGGGAGTGTTTTGAAGCTGGAAATGGAGGCATTTGCTTCTGTGAGGCTAACCAATCCATTTCCACTTCATTTTGGCAAAACCTACCCCAAAACCCTAACCCTAACCATTTTTGTCAGATGTTGTAGGGCAAAAGGAGGGTGTTCTAAGGCTGCAAGATGGAGGCTACACATGGCCTACAAGATGCCCATCCCTGATGTATTTACAGCTTCCCTCTTCAGCATTTAAGAATTATGATAAACAGAAGCGTATCAAGAGATTTTCACATTTTACAAGGAGAAAGTGAATTATTTCAACTGTGTCTCTCCTTAAAATGCTTCACATAGTATCTGAGAGGAGAAAAACACAATGCTGTCAAAGAAACATTGTTTCTTTCTGCGTTTAGGGTGCAATGAAAAGATCCTAAACTATGTACTCTTGTTTTGTAGAGGAGCCAAGCCAGCTGGCTCTAATTTGGTTACTGCTTTTGTTGTGTCACCATCCTAACCATCTTCAGCGCCATGTCACCTTGGTCAGCCGGGACCTGAGAACAAAAGAGCAACAGCAGTTAACCAGCTACAGGGGATTTCCCAGAAAGCCACAAGAACAGAAGCAGCCATAAAAGAAAAGCAGGTGGGGACCACAAAGTAGAGAAGCTTTCTCCCCCAGTTTTGTAATAGTGTTCATCATTCAACGAGCCAAAGAAAATAGAGTAAAAAATGAAATACTAGCCTTACTCATCCAGGAAACCTTTTATGGATTTTTTGCCGACACTTGGACAGAAATGATGATTTTTGGAATTGTGAATGGATAAAGGGGGGTGGGTTATGGGAAGAAGTATGTATGTAATCTTATAGGGAGTGGAGAAATACTAAATTTGCCTGTATTTGTTGCAAGTAAGATTGGGAGTCACTTCTTTAATATTCTTTTTTCTATTTCTCTTTTTCTTTCTTTTTCTTTTTGCACTTTGTATTTCTTTTTTTTTGTATTTTCTTTTTTTCTATGATTTTAGCTTGTATTATCTTTGAGCATTGTTAAACTCTGTAATAAAAATATTTTAAATTTGTTATTATAATCAACTGAAATAGCCTTTCTTATGGCAGCCTCTCTTTTTCATGCAAGGGACATACGTATCATCATGCCTGTCCTATTCTTCTGTCTCCATACTGAACAAAGCTGTGTCATCTGGAACCTATAAAATGTTCTTCCTTCTCCTTCTTTCAACATACAAAACAGAAGCTGTCCTATTTTTGCTATCAAGGCATGGAAGGGACTTACCATGTGGCCAGCCTTCAAGATCCAGAAGAAGCCCAAGTTACAATAGGATTTATAAAAAGCAGCCGTCTCTGTGCATTGTGGGCAGGTGTACAAAGCTTGCCACTTCAGCACATTAAATTCTTTCAGTTTGGGCCATTTCAGTTTTCGGAGCCAAGCTTCTTGCCCTAAATACAGAAGAGAGATCAGTAATTCTAACACAGAAGAGATCCTGCAACAAACACCATCCAGTTTTGACAGATGTTTCCCCACCTACCCATCAAAATAAATAAAGCAACAGGAAACAGAAAACCCTGGAAAGGGTAGCATACAGATTGATTGATTGATTGATTGATTGATTGATTGATTGATTGATTGAATGAATGAGGAAAACTCTTTCAGTGCAAGATGGATTACAATACAGAGTTATTAAAAATCTTGGTTGCAACTGCCAAGGTCCCCCACTGTGCAATTAGTAAATCACTTAAGACATACAGTATCTTAGTATGTGTGTGTAATGTATAATCACAGACACTCAGTGTTATGTTGGCTATCTTAATCATTGCTATTGTTGCTCATGAACTCATCTCTGAAATTATGTTTTAATTGGCTGATATTGATTTACCACTCCCATTGCAATTTGCTTGCACGCACCCTGATGCAGGAATCTGGTCCCAATGTCAGGGCTCTGAAATCAACGTTGCCATTGAATAGAACAGTATAAATGTGGAAAATTGTGTGTACTCATTGGTGCCATGTGTTATGGTTTGTACACTGCCTAAAATCCCTTGGAATTAGGTAACGAATAAATGTTGTAAATTAATAAATAAGCTTATTTATATTACTGAAGCACTTCCTTTAGTTAAGGAGAAGATTATCTAACTGTAATCTAAATATAAGCATACCATATGTGCACGGCCCTAGGAGTTTGAATTTCTCCATAACTCAGTCTATGGCTACCAGACATTGATTTTATTGCCTTGGATCAAACAGACCTAAAGGGTCCAGTCACTTGTGCTCATTAGGACCAACACAGTCATACGCTACAAGAACTCAGACTAAACTTGGATGAGCGGGCAGAAAACATAGACTGCATTCGTACATAATTCGTACTAAGCCAATTTTGTTGAACCTACCACAGTGGTCTGGTTTACACATCTCATTAAGGAAAAACTAGCAAACTGCTTGTCTAGATTAATGTTACATGTTAATCATTTAACCTGGGTTAATACATTGCAGATGAAAAGAAGAAGACTTTATTAGAGTTTGGCATATGCCTGTAAAAGCTGATGAAATCTCAGAATGGAGCAAACCAGATATGGGGAGGGCTTAGGAGTTAAATCCAGCATTCAGACTCCTGAGGCCATGCGCATATGGTCTGCTTCTATTTAGATTACAGTTAGAAAGTCTTCTCCTTAACTAAAGGAAGTGCTTCAGTAATATAAATAAGCATATTTATTTATAAAAGTTATTCATTACCTATGGTGAGATAATGGATGAGACTTCATCAAGGGGTCATCTCATCATTAAAAGCAAAAAGCAATCCAACCAACTACTCACATAAAAGGAGTGACAGGAGTCCCATTTTAAGTTGAAAGATAAACTCTACAAACAAGCATATGCCAGCTACTTCTTACTTATTCACATTTCAATGCCTTGATCCTACCTCCTAGCAAGACTCCCCAAAACATCACTCCAATACAAAAAGGCAGTCCCTGATGCCATTAACGGATCACTATATTTTCCCTCCCATACCCCCCTCTAACCCAGCTCTTTTCTTTCTACCATTTCTGGGTTCTATAGCCACCATTTTCTTCTAGAGCTACGCCTTCCTCCTTCTACCATCCACTTATTTATTTCTAACCTTTTGCTACTGATCTCTTCACTTTCCTATTTTGCTTGGTTCCAGTTCTTATGTTCTCAGCCTGTCCCTCAGGTTTACAGAAAACTGCAGTCCAGATTACCCTAGAAACTTCTTTTTTCCCTTCACAAGCTAGATTGGGACTCTCTTATTGCTGGTAAAATATTCATGAGCTGTCTGTGCCTTTCCATCTGCTCATTCAGTAGCATGAAAAGCTTTGCTAACACCAATACAATCCACAGTAGACTATGACTCATACAACAAAAACCACGTTTCATCTTCCAACATGTCACAGTGGAGAGAAAAACATTTAAGGCACTGAGCGGAACTGTCTGGCTCAAGTATACACAAGGGTTTGTGACACGCATGGGAACAAGTAATTTAGCACTAATTGTGTATGAAATTATCTCAACCTCGCAAAATTTAAATCCCAGCTTCCAAAGAATTCAGTCTGCAACAGATACAGTACAATAGTCGGTCTGTTTTTCAAGAAAATATTCACTTAAAAGTCCCTGAGCAACACTTTTCTCCAACTGGGTGCCCTTCAGATATTTTGGGCTACAATTCCATCCTCCCCAGCCAATAAGGCCAGTGGCTATGCTGACTGGACGTAATAGAAATTGCAAGCCATAATACCTGAAGGCACCAGTTTAGGGAAAAGGATTTTCACAATAGACAGTTGCATCTGGCAACTTTGCTGCCTCCACTGAGCCACCCCCACGAGAAAAACAACCTTACCTATTGTAGGAACGATGAGATCCAGCTGCCCGTTGTATACAGTAACGTTAACCTTGGCTTCCAGTAAGCTGTCTACAATATCAATTGCATTTTTCATAAAGTCTTCAGCCATATTCATAAATACATCTTTTGACTGTGCTGCAGATTGATGACAAAAGAGTTTGGGGGTAAGAAGAGGTAGATAACCTTATGCCGGTCAGAGGTCATACTTAGTACTGTTGATAGGGGAAAGGGCCCCGTGTGTGTGTCTGTATGTCAAAGATGCAAAAAGGACACATCTGTCTCACGGGCAGAACCAGGTGTTTCCATTTCTTTTTGCAGTTGGGGAGAGGGGGATAAGGTAGAGTTTTTCTTTGATTTTAACCTGCAAAAATTAATGTTAAGGGCCACTCCACTGTTTTCATGTGTTTTAAGTCTCCAAATAGTAGGAAACGATGCACCACTGAATTTTGGAGCCAGCATTAAGAACTGAAAAAAAAGAAGCTTGGGGTATACAACCTGAGCCACAGTGTCACCCAAAAAGTTCTCACCAATGACTTCATAGTTGCAAATAGTATTTGAAGTAACTTCAACCTGGTTTAAAACCCAATTAGCTTTCCTCCTTCCATGACTGAGGCTTAGGCTGGAATCAAGAGATCCAGGTTCAATAGTTTAACCTTTATGATGTGACTGATGTCGCTTTCAAACATATACAATTACCTGTGCAACTGTTTCCTTTTGATATCATTTATATAGGTTAAAGTGTAAAAAAATTAAAAGTAAAATAAGTCTTTTCCATTTAAATTCAGGAGAACTATCACTTTGGATGTTATCCTCAGCATCCCTTAAGGACAGTACAGCAGTTCAGTTTCTGCAGATTGATAAGACACATTTTGCCACCGAAGTTCATAACTAATATAAGAACATAATGTCCTAAGAGAAGAGCTTTATCAAAGAGTTCTTCATTCTCCAGTGAGCTATAATATTCAAAAAACTATATGATTGAATCCAGTAGCTATTACAATACCTCCCCATTTGACGTGGTCTGGAATTATTTTCAGCTTCTTTCTGATGGGCCCATTCATCAAGTCACTCAGCTTGTCTTTATTTTGATTTTGCACATGACGCCTGAACAATTTTACTGAAGAAAGAAGAGAAAGATTTTTATCGAAGACTGCATCCGACATTTACCTGGGAAGGGAACCCCTTGCAATTCTTTTATTTTAAAAAGACAGATGCCCTCTTCTTCAGTTCCGAAAGAGTTTCTCTCTCACACGTACACACTTGCACACACCCCAGTGGCAACAACCAAGCAACAAATATGCAACCCCCCCAAAAAAACAAAAAAACCCTCCCCTGCCCCCAAGCCCCAATAAGACAGCAGGTCATTAAGTAATTAAATTAAAATAAAAACCACTCTAAATCAGAGAGATGTGGCTCCAGTCATGTCAAGGGCCATATTAGCCCCTGAACAGCAAATCAGTGGCAGTCTATCACAAAGTGATCAGATCCATTCAGAAGTAGGTAGGGGCCACTAGTTCTTGTCCAGCACCCCTTTGTCAAATCCCAAATCTTTTACATATATTGCAGTCCTAAATTGCAAAAGCTTATCCCACTCACCACAGCAAAAAATAAAACTGCTGACCAGACCTTAATGCCATGCTCTCAAATAAAAATACTTTTTACCCAATTTTTAAATGTATTAATTTTTTAAAGCTCAGCTCAGGCATTTTGTGCATTTTAGAAGCTGGCAGCCTATAGTGCTTGGGACTTACAAACAATGGCGATCAGATATGAGAATTACAGAACAGGCGCTTGCTTAGGTAATCAGAACTGTAGTCCTTCCATGCAAGACTCCACTCCTGAATTCCTTAAGCTTTCTTTATTTCAGCAACTTCATTTAGAGCCATGGGGCAGGGAAGGGGAATTTGAGTGTTGCTGCTTTCTGTTTGGCCCTGATCTCCACTGCACAATTGTAACAGGCATGTCACGTAACAGCGCCCTACCACCCAAATCCTGGGAAATATATATATAGCAAGTGTGTTAAGAGTCCAAACTCGCAAGATTTTCTGTGGAAAAGGGGTAACAACTGCTAAATCCAATTTAATGTCTGTCAAGGGGCCACACTTCTGATCTTCTAAAACTACAAAGAGATTTCTGCCACTGCAGAGTTCTCACTCAACTTACAAAATGGGACGGTTTCACCTGCAGTAGATGAGAGAGCTGTGTCCTGCGAAGTGTCTTGTGTTAGAATATTATAGAAATTCACACCGTTCGTGTTCTAGACAAGAAAAGAAACTACAGTAAGAATAGAGATTCTACAACAAAAGGCATGGTTTGCTCTAAGGTTTGGTGTTGGAGAAGGCCTCTGAGAATACCATGGATAGCCAAGAAAACAAACAAGCAGAAGAAAACCACCCAGAATTCTCACTCAAGGCACAAATGACTAATTTCACATTAAGTGAAGACCTAGCTCTCTTGGGATGTCTAAAATGCTGGGAAAGAGAAGAAGATGCCAACCAGCAGCAAAGTGGATGGACTCAGTTACAGTGGTGATGAGTGCGCCATTGGGAGACCTGAAAGACCAAGTTAGGGACAAATTGTCATAAGGAAAATCTGTCTCTGTGGTCCCTAGAAGTTGCCATCAACCTGATGGCACATAATCAGTCAATTAAATCTATCTCCTTACCTCTTCTATAATATCCTCTGCTTTACTCCAGAGCAGTGTAGCAAGCTTAAATGCCCCTGTATTCATTGCATTGAGGATTTTCTTGGCAGCAGTGGTGACTTCCTTCAAGCCTTTATCATCTAGGAACGACTACCGTGCAAGGGGGTGGGATGGGGGCACAGCCGAAAGAAAACAAAAGAAACTTGGAATCAATGTTGCATATAATGCCTCAAGTACTTCTGAAGAAATATGAGCTAGGCAATACAGCTTAATTGCAAAACAATGCTTCATAGCATACGTAGGTGCAAATCATCCTGGTATCAATGCATATTTTAACCAGTATTATTTGCAACGGCTTCAAAAGAAATATATGAGGGTACTTGGAATAATGTATCAGAGGACTGCTAGAATGGCTATATTAATCTGAGGAAAGTCAACAAAGAGAAACTATTAGAAGTCCTCAGTAAAGGGAATTGTGATGCTAAAGGTCCTATATTTACCACCTATGTGTTAGGTAGCTGCTTTTTATCTGGATCTTACATAATGGCCTCTGGCAGGGTGGATAAATCTCAGCACACTTGAGACCTCACTGCTGAAGACAAGTTTGATGTCAATACCATTAAGCGGCACTTTCAGAATCAGAATCAGCTAAGGGCAACTGGAGCAGCTGTATGGAATGGGGGGGACACGTGGAGAATGTGTGCATGCATGAACACATATATGGACCCCAAGTGATGCATGGAGAGCAGGCGTAGCCTTTGAGGCCAAAAGCTTACTTCCTTCTAGCCTGTGTTTATAAGCAATACATGTTGATCATAACATTCTGTGGACCTGGTGACTACAATCCCACCTTTTGAGCTTCCCAGAAGCACCAGAATGCAGTCTTTGCCTCTAGGAGACAAAGTCCTGAATAGAGGAACATTTCTGGCCTGATCCAACATGGCAACTCTCATGAACAGTCAAAAAGCAGAGGAAGAAAAAAAACAAGGAAGCAGTTGACTCCCAGCCTTGAACTGACTCTTTACTGGCAGCAAAACAGGACTAGAGGATTCTGTATGGCTAAGGATTAAATTGTGCTTTAAAAACTGAGTTGCAGGAATTTTGATATAGATGTAAACATGGTATCTGCACTGTAATAAAGTTTATTTATCTTATTTTATTAAAGTAAGATAATTTAAGTTTTTTTTCTTTTTCCTCCCCCCTCCCCTTATATTAGTTAGTTAATTAGTTTTATTCAGAGTTTTATATTTTGTTTGAACTGTATTCAGAAGTTTGGGTTTTTCTATTTCTCTTTGTAATTGTAAGAACATTAAACTTTTCTTTAAAAAAAAAAAAAGCATGGAGTATATACTTACAGTGCTATACAGGTAAGGCCCCCAAGCAAGCACAGAATCTAAAAAGAAACAAAAATTGACTTTTTAAAAAGTGAAACAGAATAGTGGCCATAAAGCAGTATCTTTCTTGCATTTCTCTACTTAAAGCAGGCAGCAGCTGTACAAGACCTGAGCATATTCTGCACTAAGGCAGAATATGATCTTATGTAAAATTAATCCTAGTAATTTAAAAAAATGGCAGCTTTCCAGAAAGAGGAGGAGGAGGAAGAGGCGGCAGCAGCAGCAGAGGGAAGAAACTCCTAGTTCTTAAACTGGTATCAGTGGAGCCTCACGAAATCTCAAAATTCATGGAGAATTTATTTATTTATTTATTTATATTTATATTTCAAATTTGTCACCGCCCATCTCACTACAAAGCTACTCTGGGCAGTTCTTAGCACATTTAGTACTAAACTGTTTGTTATTCCAGGGTATCAAAATCTGGTGCTTTCCAGGAGCAATGAAATAAGATTTCCATCATCCCCATACTGACTGGGCACTGAAAGGCTCACACCCTAACATAAGCTATCAGGCTGAGGACGTTAAACTATTCATACTTTTTAAAAAATCATACTCGGGTTGGTATTATATATTCTGAAGAACAGCCAAGGTCATGAGGGCGGAGTGAATTCTGGACACGTTTCCAAATCATGTGGGAAGCCCAATCCAGATTCTTACTGACAATTGCCATTGTCTGGCTAGTAACTGCTTTCTAACATTCTGTTTGCAGTAATCAGGAACATGTGCTGAATCTCCCATTCCAACATACCACTTTTCCTTCAAGAAAAAAACGCCCAGTTTAAGCAAGCTTAAAATAAGCAAGCAGGAGGCCATATTTAATTAAATGTATAATTAAATGTATTTGGATAGCATCACTGAAGCAATGAGCATGAAACTGAGCAAACTCAGGGAGACAGTGAAGGACAGGAAGGCCTG